AACTGAAGTTGTGCGCAAAGAACACGGTAACGATCTGGACAATCCATGACCTTAAAAATCAATTCGAGGCCCTGAATCCACTCGTCTACAATACGCGGATCTCCCTAGCCGGAGAAATTCTCAGGGTGGTAGTCGCGGAACTGTGCGACCACTGTGGCCTGGGGGACCGCTGGCTGTTCAGGTTCCCTACGGGGCGGCTTCTGAATATTGAAAAGATTCAACATGATTAAAACGCAAGGAACATACTTTAACTGATCATTAAGCGCACAAATTTCTTGACGAGTTGCAAATCATGACTGGGAAATACTGACATGAATCCTGACTACTGATCCTGAACATGATTCGAGCATCTTAACTATATTATAACTGAAAAATTTCTTGAGCATAGAAATAGTAATTTGTTTATAATTTAAAAACATGAATCATCACTTACCTGTAGTCGGCGAGGCGTGAGCGTGACGTGTTCAGGTTTTTTGAAAATTTCTGACTCGTGAAAATTTTCCGAGACACTGAAACGTGCTCTGATACCAACTGTAACACCCCACCTTACCATGAAAATTAGAGTGCGTAATTTCGCAAAACTTTTCGAAATAGAATAATTAGTTTGCGAAAACTGATTCGGAGTGCTACCGTAAAAATATGACATTCTGAAAAACCGCTATTTTAGTATTTAATAAAAATTTACGGTTAACTTAGTGTATTGACTAACTGATAGTCTAATCAAAAGATAAGTTCGTCAAAAGTCATGAACAACGGAAACGTATCATCGTCGAAATATTTACAAACACATGATCAAAAGTCCAGAACCATCCGCCTTCTCTCACCTCCGGCCCGACGTCCTGACCTGAAAAACATGATAAAAGTGGGGCGTGAGCACTAAAATACACTGTGCTCCGTGGAAACTCATACTAAAGTAAATAGTGAAAATAATTACAATAACATGATCTTGGCATGAACATGAACATGAAACCGGTACTGAATAATCATGATCTGATACTGATGGTGAGATTAATTTCATCACCTGCCTGATACTAAACATCTGCCGGCAAAAAGCTAATGCCGGACACCATGTGCACACTCTAGTGGGCAGATTAAGGCCACTAGAACTCAGAATGGACCGGCGACCATTCCGAGCGGATACTGATAATACATACCTCAAACATGGTAGAATAATTATAATCAATGTAATACCCAGTCTGAGTCCCCACCTGAACTGTCTGACTGAAAAGGCAGTGCTGATAATCGTATCCTAATTAAACTGAAAAAAATAATATAAACAATTACTAAATACTATGCCTAGACTGATAAAATAACTTTTTAATATGTTAAGATGCTCTGCTGGATTTAAACATGATATTCGGATTTAACCGGTATAACCTGAACCGATTAAAATCGAAAACTGAACTGACATGAATTTACCGGACTGAAATTGGAACTTAAAACATGAACCGGGGTTTAAATATTAAAATTTGGGTTGAACCGGTCCAAACGGTCTGAACTGGGTCTGAACCGGTCTGGCCGAATCGCTGGTCTGCTCGGACCGGTCTGTTGGCTGCTGACTCGGCCCACAGCACTGCTGCGGCTGTGGCACGGCTGCTGATGGGACTGGGTGCGGGCACGGCCACTGCAGGGCCTGCTGGACGCGCATGAATGGATCT